ATACATGTTTGCTGTCAATGTTTTAAAGACAGATGCAGCCATTGGGGAAATCACTGGTAAACAGAACTACACTGTCCTGAAGCAACAGATCAGACAACTTTAAGTTCCTTCTGTAGATTTTAGAATATTTTATTTCAGATTAGTTTATATGTTTAAATTCAGCACCTGTCACCCAAAATTCAGAAAGTGCATAAAAGTAAAAAAAAAAAAAAAAAGTAAAAACTTTTTCTACATCAAATCTTTGAATAAAAGTAAGTATGACAGTGAAATCAAATCCCAACAGATTTTTTCAGTTCACTAATGGACAATGCCAACTTTAATAAGTCTGTTTTAATATTGACTATTAACACTAATTATTTTAAAATTTAATTTTTAATAAACCTTTCTTCATACATATTGAATGCTATTAATACATTTTAGTCAACTAATTCACAAGGATTAAAACACTGGTCTTCTGTGGTGTCTCTGAAGAACACATAAAAGTGTGATGAACCACATATCTAAAGTTACATCATATAGTAAACTGACAGTAATGAAGTACAACATTTAGGAGAACGTGCTTAAGTCTACATTAAGTTAACTTCTCCATTACATATATTGATTAGTTATGCTCACCAATGCATTATAAAAACAAAGAAAGAGCTCTGCTCGGAAGTAAAACTGGTTACCTGAACTAAAAACCTGCACTAGTGGGAAGCCAAAACTGTATTTACCACAATCCTCAACTGCAGCTGAACCCGATATAAACTCTTGCCTTAGATGAGCAAAAGTAGGTGGATGAAGATGCAGAGCAAGTCACAGGTCTAAAGATACTGCAAAGGCCTTCCACAGCCAGAAAGGAAATACAAAAATGTTTTTCTTGAAAAAGTTGCTATTAAATCTAGCCATCTGCTACCCAGGTTTATTTTCGATCATTTCTCAACATAAATGAAAGAGTCCCATAAGCTATAAAGAAGACACAATCCAAAGGGTAACCACTGTGTCCCCCTGCTCTGTAGTACCGCTAAAGATACTGCAAAGGCCTTCCACAGCCAGAAAGGAAATACAAAAATGTTTTTCTTGAAAAAGTTGCTATTAAATCTAGCCATCTGCTACCCAGGTTTATTTTCGATCATTTCTCAACATAAATGAAAGAGTCCCATAAGCTATAAAGAAGACACAATCCAAAGGGTAACCACTGTGTCCCCCTGCTCCGTAGTACCAACCTGAGAAACAGCAGCTGTTCACCAATCATTTCATGGAATTACCTGTTTTCTGCTGTTGTAAGAATATTTTCACATTTTCATGGAATTACCTGTTTTCTGCTGTTGTTGTAAGAATATTTTCACATGAATCAACACAGGCAGCCACTTGCTTTTTAAAGTTACCTATTAAGGAATCTGGTGTGTATATATACGTGCATGTACACAGACACACTTGCTATTGTCATTCTCTCAGGTCTTGGTGAACCCCAAGATTCCCACCATTTTGAAGAAGCCTCCAAAACAAGTGAGGGAGCAAACCATTAAGCTGGGTGCCAGTCACTGAAAGCACACACGCTGGGTGTTCCTGCTTTCTCTGCTTTTCCCTCCTCTTTCTGTAAATCACACAAATTTTCTTCAATTCCTCACGTGTCTTCTCCACCTGTGTTGGTTCCTTTATGATGCATTTTTGTAACATCCTACATATATTTTCCTTGTTGAAACTATTCTTTTCACTTTCAATTTCCACTTTTTAGACTTTTCACTTTACATTTCCTCTTTCCTATAAAAATTTCAAATACTTGATGACTATCAACTTTATTTGTTCCTCCCCACCCCAAAACACAACTCCTCCATCAATCTAGGGACAAGCAGAGAGACTTGACTGTTTTTCTATTCACCACCCCTAGAAACCAAGCATATTTCCTAAGTTTGAAGACAAGCCCTTAGGCAACTTGCATTAAAGAACCAACAATGTTTCAGCAAGCTCAACTTTCCCATGGCTTTCAGAACTCGCTCAGTATTGATTTGAAAGTCAGAAATATTCCTAAGACAAGGCAATTTGTTCTTTAGAAGCTGAAAAAAATTTTACAGGGTCTTTAAACTTAATTTAGCTATATTATTTATTAGAAGTTATTTATTGAAGATTATAAATGTGATCATTGAAGGAGTTAATGTAATTTAATTTTAGGCCACTGTAAGACCTGTATATTTGTATTATTATTTCTATTTGTATCTAGAGAGAGAAAAAAAAATTGTTCCTTCAGTTGCTATTGCCTGTGAGTAAAATGCTGAATATTGACTAAAGCAAAGGAGTAACCATGATTTCAGTAAAAAGAACAAAGCATATCACTCCCAACCTGTTCAAGGGAAGAAGCTGGTATCTTCTGCAAGAAGCAGCAAAACTGCTTGAATACTAGTAGAACAAGCTCCACTGCAAATTGCTATGTCTGACAGTATTTTAGAGTGGAAGAGACCTCTAGAAGTCACCTGGTACCACCACCTGGTCAAAGCAGGACCAACTTCTAAGACAGACCAGGTTGTTCAAAGTCATTCTGGTCAAGTTTTGACTATCTCTAAAAATGGATATTGCACAACCTCTCCAGGCAGCCTGTTCTAATGCTTAACCACATTCACAGTGAAAATGTCTTTCCTAATTTCTCACCAAAATTTCCTTTATTGTGATTTGTGCCCATTACCAATCTAATCACCTTAGAGCTACCTGTAAATATTTGTAAATCTGTACTATAAACTTTGACTATACCCAAACTGGGCTATTTCTGTCTAAACAGATTGAGCTATTTCTTGCCAATTAAAAATTGTACATCCACAATAGGAAGAGGGACCCGTCTTGAGAATTTCCCTCTCCCAACTTAACTAATGTAACGAAGATGGAGGAATCCTGGATTTATGTTTGTTTTGTTGCTTTCAACCTTGAAATCTTTGCTGCAATGGCAAAGCTTCAAACCAAGACCCATGCTCTTCCCCACTCCTGAAATATGTGCATGCACGCCTACACACACAAACACAGAGTGAATTAAGCCAAACATGAGCGCTTAAAGCACATACCTAGAAGTTAGGAGACAGTATTCTGAGCCCCCGCAGGCTAAAAAGATGAAAGAACTCAAATAACTTGGCAATTATACGGGAACACTTGTCCAGTTTTGGAAGAAAAGTGTTTACAATTCTGTAGGCTGTACTCAACGACACAGAAGCCTCCAGTGTGCTTGTGGTAGCCTCCCGGACTGAACACCACAGGAAACTCGAAAGGAAGAATGGCAGTTTTAAATATCTTTAACAAACTGCAATTCTGCACAGATCCAGAGAGAGGACTTCTGTTCCATAAAAGCTTAGCTGTGAATCTGTGTGTGGGATGGTACTTGAAAGAGCTTAAAGATGATCCTCCTTGCACTGAGGCACTATTCATTTAATTCGGGTCTTAGTGAGGTTGACAGCTCATCCCTGGCCAATTCGAGGTAAATATCTCCAGTGCCATATTTACTGCTTAATAAAGGTTTAGGTACGGTCTTGTGCTCTAAGTGCTTCCCCCTTCCCAGGTTAGAAGCTGCAGCAGTTCCCAAATACACCTTGGCTCTTGGTTACAAGAAGATAAATACCAGCACATGGGAAGAGGCAGGATCAAGTGGCTTGGAAGGGGCAGGGCCGTTACACATTTGATGCAAGTTTGCTTTTAAAATCAGTTGCCAAGCTATGTATCAAGCATAGTCCTGATAGAGACAGCTCTGCTAAATCCTTTAATCTAATATTGCAGGTACACACCAGAAACAGAACATAAAGATTGTCATTTGGGTACTTACCAGGCTTCCTCGTCTCCCCATTTTAATGGGTTCATTGAATTGTTATTCTTGAAAGTAAATAGCACAAAGAATATCTCAAAATAAAATTCAAGCACTAAGCAGTAATTGATATAAGTATGAAAAGAGAACATAAAACCTTTTATATTCAAGTATTAAAATGGCAGTACCAAATTAGTCTTGTCTATTTCTCTCAAAACATATGGAAAGCTCTGTGTACTCAACTCAAACATGAGAGAGGTGCACAGCTGGGAGAACAAGAAATCTTACACAGAGACCAGCTACGGATGTACATGCTTGATGGACATGCAGAGCACTAGCGTTCATGTTCCAAACATGAGAATGTGATACCACTAACAGCCCAGATACCATTCTGCTATTCTGACACTTCTCTGAACTACAAGCAATTACAGAACCTGTAAAATACAGATCTGCCAGGTACAGTTGCTAATAAGGAGTAAGGAAATAATAATAAAATGGATTTTCCCACAAACTAGTTATAATCATTATACTTAAGCTTCAATTCCTGATAGAGCATGAGATAGTCACATTGGTCGGTTCCCAATACTTTTCTTTTTAATTCAACCCAATTTGACAGAGGAGTTAAAGTCCTAACGATAATTGGATTTCCAGACTGTTTTGGTAACTGGTGGCTGGAAAGACAACAGACGTACAGACGAGTATTTTCACTAACTGAAAACCAGGCTATTGTGAACATCACATAGCCTCACCTCGGCCCATCAAGTAGGCATAACAAGTTTATTTACATTAGTTACGCCACACTATCTTTTGGCTGCTGGGAGCATCAGAAAGCATGGGGAACTGCACACTGCAATTTCTTCAGTGGGTCAAGTTTAAAGGGATTAAAGACACACACGTACAGGAAACTGAAATGCAGAAAGTCAAACCTTCAATTCTGCTGCTCATATAACTTTCTCCACAGCGTACTATGCATTTCTGGGATTATCTCTATTTAAGCATTTGCTAAAATAGACCTAATCTATAATCTATACTACAACAACACGACCACTATAATGTCCTTCTTTTTAGGGAATTGTCTATATGGCATGTCAGGCAGATAAACCACCTGCCTGCAAAAGAACAACAAACAACAACAAAAAAAAATACAAACCCCAAATCAAAAAACCCTACCCCAACCACTGGAATACACACATCTCAGTTACAGATGAAAAACACAAACTTATTTCAACTAGTACATATTTACCTTGAACATGGAGAATGATAAGCAGGTAGGCTCCAAGCAATCGCTCATAAACTCTCAGTCGAGTCATTGTTCACTTTTAATCCTTTCTGTGCAAGGCAACTGGCCCTTCTGCTTGACAAATGTTAAGCTTAGTCTGTTTGGTGAAGCCTAATACAAGGTTTGGTGCTTGACTGCAAAGATGATTTTGTAACTTTTCCAACTTTGTTTCCTGAAAGATACAGTAAAACAAAGAGTTAAGAAAATCCTTGCATTTCTGAAACAAGAAAAAACCCTCAAGATTTCTCAACACACTGATCATAACCATGTGGCTGCAAAAAAAGAATTAAAAATGCATATGTTTATTAAGATTAATAACTGAAAATATTAGCCATATTTACTATCCAACTGAACAGCAGAGTTCTTCTGAAATATACATTTTTGGTAACAACCCACAGGAATGTTTTTACATTCCTATCAAAAATATTAGGTATATTAACAAAAATATTAGGTATATTAACTAACTAGTCACAGCCATATATTTTAGACTCACATACAGCTATCATAGGTAATATTCAACAGATTAACACGTACAACTGTTTGAAAACTATTTTCTTTACAGAAATTGAAATTTATACTTATTATTTTTCTTAAAAGTGAAACTCAATGGTGACTTCCCATGATACTGTGGGAGAAAAGCAACACCATGTTGAGCCACCAGTTGAAAAATGCTTGCAGAGAAGCTTTATTGCAATAAAAACCCAGCCTCTCTGCTGGATGAAAGCTAAATTTGTATTAAAATAGTTAGTTTAGTTACCTAATTTACTTACAATGTTACTTTTGTCTTCTAGAAAAGTACTACATCTTTAAAAAAAAAAGCACAATCTCATTTAACATTTGAATGAAGAAATTAATTTCTCACTTAGCACCAACTCTATTCCAGTTCTCCTTCCTGTAGACTACTACATTATACATTGTTTTCTGGAGAAAATAAAGTTAGCTTGGTTCACAACACCAATGAACATTTATTATTAATCTCTGTTAACTCCAATTCAAAATCCTGATACCCTTCTGGATTTCCAAGTTTTGTGCAAAATAATCCCTCCTGAAAAGTTATGCTACCGTATGCGCACTCCATTTGTTCCAAAAATAAAATACAATTCTACTCATCCAGTGGATGAACACATAGCCAAGACAGCCAAATTGAGTAAGGAGTTACTTTTTCAGACTGTAGTTGTGGTCACGTTCTGCTTAACGAACTTTCTACAGCGATTCACAAGGGAAGCATAATTGGGCCTCAAAGGACTAAAAAGCAGCTTGAACACCTAAACAGTTAATCGCATCAAAAGTGACATTGCACAAAGACGAACAGAGGACTGATTTTGCCTTTCCTCGGCCTCTTCTTTCGGTGGGCCTGACCCCCCTGACCCCTGTCAGCCTGGCGCTGCTAATGAATGCCCAAACTGGCGTTCGCTCAGGGATGGGCTGCAATTACTGTTGGTGGCCGCTTCCACCATCAATAACCCAATCTCTCTGTCAGCGAGACCCGAGAACTTTTCATTTTAATTAGTGCTTCGGAGGCATTTAACATGGAGGCATATTAGCGGCCGAGCCGGGAGGTGTCCATCACTTTCCATTTCGGCGGGGCCAGGGCAGGCCGCCCCCGACCCCTGACCTACTTTTCACACGCCTCTGACTTCTCCCTAATGGAGCGACAAAGCGCCTCCGCGCCAGAGGAAGCCAGGGGCGAGCTCCGGGCTGGGCGCCGCTCCCTGAACGCCGCAGCGGCCCCGGCGTTTGCCATGATTACTGCCAGGTTACGGCGGGATGGACTCGGAACGACACGCTCTGCCGACATCCTAAGCGCTAGTAACTTCAAAATGAACTTCCTGGCGAGGCAGAGGTAAAGGCAATATGGTAACAAAAATGTTCACTCTCTTTAGCGTTTCCTCATCACAAGAAACAGGACCAATTCTGACAGCTGACAGAGAACGTCCTTCTACCTATAAAAACATCGGACCAGCAACATAAGTCTGTAAGTATTATTGCTTTATTCTGTGTTTCAACTGCAATGAACTTCAATCCTCAATAAAACACGCGGAAGATGAAAACGGCCAACAGCTTGTATGCAGTAAAAGAACAAAGGCTTTATTTACAGTATTATTTTTGCAGTCCATCAAGGAAAACAACTCACTAATATTGTTTAGATAACAATAAACCCACTATACTGTTTAAAGTATATTTAAAAATAATTATGTCTGTCTTCTCCCTGCAAGTTTCAGTAAGGACTACATATTCTCACTCTTCCACATTTCAAGAGTAGGAGTGTTTTAAACTTTCAGAAAATTGGTGATCTCGCTCCCCGGTTCAGTAAGGTAAGAGAGCACACTGGCACAGCAACTTAATGTGCAAGGTGTATTTACCACTGTACCACACAGTACGTTATCAAAAAATCAAAAAAATTGGGGAAAAAAAGAGAACATTTTAATGCAACTCACTTCCAATTTCATGGTGGTTTTTGTTCAGTGGGACAATCTCAGGTAGTTTTCAAAAATGTTGTCCAAGCCTATTCAAGAATATAACGCTCTCCATTTAGAACCAGTATTTTGCATCTGAATCTTCCTTTCATTAATATTTCACTTTTCACAGATATATATGTATTAAAATGTAAACATGTATAAAAATGTATATAAAATCACGTACTAAAATGACACTCAGAACAAGTTCTGTTATAATTCCCCATTTTAAAATAATTCTAATTTGATAATGCTTACCAGCATTTAAAAGAATACCTCAAAAATGGAAAGTAAAACCCAGCAAGGCTGCAATTCCCTTCTCTGCCCCTGAAATGCACATATGATGCCTTAATACCATTACTTGAGTTATCTTTCTGTTGCTGCTACTGTCAGCGTCAAGTTCACCCTTACCCAGGAAAGCCCCGCAGCTGGCTGCAAGGCTCGGGCAGACAAGCACCGATGAGCCTTGCTGCACCCCCAGCACTAATAGTAACATTTCACCGCTGGGCAGGTGAGCTTAAGCCACTGATAAAAAACTAGCGATTTACAAGAAAATGTCCCAATATGGACTATGTGAACTGCAGTGAGGACACGTGTCCTGTTCTACCGCCCACACTACAGAAGCAACAAATTTGTGTCAAAAACATGATGTGGATGGGGTGAGGCAGTTTTTTCAGGCACCACAGTAAAATTCAGCAGAGCTTTCCTGCCACAGCTATCAGAAGAGATTTCAGGCATTTTTTACGCATCCTTTGAACTGTTCTTCCTTTTTCTCATGTAAGTTTCTGAGCTAAACAAAGACAATTAGTTCTCTAATAGCCTACATTGCTCTGTCGCAGAAAGGGAAACTGTCTGAAAACATTTCGTTCTTAAAATCACCTGGCACTCCAATACAGCTATGTAGTTTAACAGCTTAAAAAAAAGAGTTTCAGAAAACAGACTAGTTGTTCTAGTGCTTCTAACAAATGCCACAGCCCAAAATGACGTAGTTATGACCTTTGTATGAGAATACCTTTCACTAAAAACAAAAAACCCCACAACAACAAAAAATACATTTCACAAAACAGAAGAGGCCACAGTGACACCTTTTCTGAGCCACTTCTGGATTCCCATTAAAGAAGACGACTGGCAGCCCCGCTAAGGCAGACTATCTAAAGTGAGCAGCAGCTGGAATTTCTCCAAAACCTGCCTGATATTAACAGTGTAGAATGACACAACTAAATGACTACTTCAAATGTGTTAAAGCACCAATTAGCACCTGGAATGCTACTCTGCCAACAGAGTAATGCTGAAGAAATTCAAACCCATAAGCCAATCAGTTGATTTCAAAGTACTCAATCTCTGTTCTTTTTCTGCTATAGCCATGAAGAAACGTGCAGCTATAATCCGTTAAAAAGTAATTTATTCATCAATCTTAACACCCAGTTTGTCTACAGTGTAATTTATTATCCTTCCTAAAAATAGTTTATTGAGGAAAATGCTTTTGTTATTAAAACTGTGGGGGGCGGCGTTCTGAACTCAGCTGTGAATTCATGACACTATCACTGCAGTCTAGCCCTACACTCCATATGACTCCAAATATATTAAGCTAAAGTGTGCAAGATTTGTCGTATGGTCCAAAATGATTCTGAAAGCAGGGAGTTCAGGGGTAACTGTTCTTTAGATGTGGCTCTGTAATATTTTTAACAGCATGATCCCCAAACCAAATGAGCTGCACTGTCCCAAATTTCAATAAAGAATGATAGTGCTGAACGTAACAAAGACAGTATTTGTAAAAGGGGAACACATGAAAAAAGAAACGTCAATCTCAGACTTCACAAGAATTAGAACATTAAATCCATTTCAACAGACAAGATGTTTCAAAACATATGCAGCAGTACATACAATACCAAGTAAATGTATTTGCCAAAGCAAAACTGAAAAATATTAAATGTTTCTCCTATGTGTAATGGGGGCAAGAAGTGACTTAGGTGACTGTAAGCACATTACCTCAATCACATGGACAGTTTTGAACACAACTTCAAGGTGGAGCAGAATACTAGAGATGAATTGGACTGTCAGTCTAAGTCAGTATGCAACAACAAATTTTCTATTAGAGCTTAAAAAACCTGATATAGTGCCACAAAGAAAATTATTAATTTGGATGAAGAAAAGAGGGATTGTAAGAACAGTAAAGAATTCACTACAGGGCAGACAACAAGTAGTTTCAAGAAGAGAGATTGCTAGTGTAGTTCAAATGACATTCAAGGACGTTGATTCTTGAATCAGCTTGATTCAGGAATACTTACCCTTTTCATTAATGAACTAAGCACAAAAAGGAAAACTTTGATAAACCTTGCTGACAAACATGAATTGTCAATTCAGCTGAGTGTTGTTTTTAATGCAGGAAGATTTGGATCACATGAAGAACTGAAGTAACAGAAATGGCATGAAATACAACAGCGTGAAATTGGGAAAGTTATGCATATTGGGAACTCTGAAGAACTGCTTCACACAGACTAGGAGTTCATGCATAGGAGACAGCTACTTACGTCCAAGGACTCAAGTACACTAACCGATTACAGAACCCCAGACACATCCATGTGAAGTTGCTGGGAAAAAAGAGACAAACACAACTCTAGGATTTCCTAGGGAAATTTCCCAGGGGAAACAGTAAAACATGAACAGCACAGAGACAATACAATTGATAAATTCAACATATGCCTAGAAGAACTGA